TAGATTTGTGATAAGTAAAGAAATCACCTTAATATAAATGAATAAAAGCCAGGTTTCGAGTATCCCCTTATTGATTTGGTATGACTCGACTTTTCATATCGAAGGAAAAGTTGGTTGGAAGGGATTCGTGAATGATTTTCTCTAAAAGCAAGTCCTCTTTTAGTTTCCGTTGAGACCAGTTTATGCATTCTTTCCAAACAACTTTTCCTACGAAAGGAAAAGTTGACTCCCACTAGAATAACCTTAATTGGCTTAAGGTGAAATAAGGAAAGGTAGTTTAATTTCTGGGAATGTAATGAAAATACTTCAAGACGCAGTTAAATTTCACTAAGACACACGTATAAAAAGAAGTTCTAACTAGGATCTAATGTCATTGCAACATCGCATGAGCCAGCATCCTTAAAGGGATTGAAAGCCGGATCTTGCGCGTCAAACAGTAACGTTTTCACCCAACCTTACAGAAAATGATACCATTGGGTGACAGGAAAGATGTAACTGTCAAGGCAACAAATGCCTTTCTGGGTGCTTACCAGACCTGAGGCGGCAAATTCGACATCAAATAGGGCGGCTGTCTGTAGAGTGCAGAGCTTAAGAAGGCAGCCACCACAGGCGATGCGCCATATAATAACAGACCCATCTTCGTGGCCAGTCAATAAAAGATCGCTACTGATGAAGCACGATGGAGCCCTGCATGGACGCGCGTGTGATGTCATGAAAAGTGTAAAATATGGTTTAAACAAGAGATTAATAGCATTAAAGTGAAAAGTGAAATGCAATAGGAATTCTTATAAAGCACTGTACTATCAATGGCAAATAACGTTCACAGTGGAGGTAGGAAGAGGTGTGCGCGCGTTAGACTGATAGTTCAACTTCTTGTTTTAGAGCAAATCTACCCGGTGTTCACAACGTATTTACGCTAAGCTTCCTAAAGATGGTCTGGTAACTTTAGCACACAGAATTATCTATCCAGCCACCTCGATTGATCAGCACACTAAGCAATATCACCTGAAGCAGAATAGAATTTGGACTTGAAGAGTATGTGCCTGACAGAGATCTAAAATATGATACTACCAATGGCTCTGTAGCTGGCCAATAAACAAGAATCGTCGGAGGATACATGATTGAGTTTAGAGGAAGACGCACTGTTATTAGGAGCATACAATAGATCTATGGATAAGCTCTGGCCTGAGAACTTGTTGGAATTCAGAAAGGATCGATTCCAGGTGTGATCTGATCCTGTTCATCAAGATTCTGGAGAAAAAATTTTCTACTTAAAAATACTTCGGTGGATAGCATACTTTTTCGTGAATCGGATTAGTCATTAGACTATTCCACTCTTGGTAATATAAGAAGATATATATTTCTTTTTAAATATGCTCATAATGAGTATAAAGTTAGATTCATCCGGTGGCTTATAAAACTCTAAACAAAGATTTGTCCCCGTCAAGACGTTATAAGACAATGAGTTCTTAAATATCTTTAATTTGGTCTTAGTCGACAAGTCTGAAACTGACATTTTATAGCTAAATTGCGCCGATGGCTGCATAATTTATTTAGCAACAACACGCCTTCAAGATATTATTCAATCGGCAATTGGGAGGCTTTTACTCGTAGGAATGTTCCTTCCTTTACTTAAACTAATCTGGCATAATACAATGCTTGTCAACAGTTACCAATGATTTTGAATACTAATGTAAACAGGGATTTTTGTTATCGTCTCATATCGTGAAATATTTTCAGATATCAGTTCTTTGTGATGTAAAAATTAATTTCATGTATAAACCAATCTCACTCATTCTTCCAATGCTATTTCGCACCAGTTGATAGGTCCAAGAGATATGGGTGGAAGCAATTAAATTGAAGTGAACAA